CGCAAGCGCGTACCACGTCGCGTCCCGTGCCTTGGCCGTCGGCGCACACTGGTCCTTCATCCGTCGGCTCGCGCTGTTGAACGTCCTGCGGCCCGATGGCCCGGCCAGCAGTCATTTTGGCCCGCGCAAAGATCTGGCAGTCGACAATGTCGACGTGCATGGCCATGTGCGCGAGGTGGTGCAGCACGATCCGGCTCTCAAACACAACGTGCGACTCGTTCTTCCGGGCCGAGTCGAACTGGTACGGGTCTGCCGTGCCCCCCGTCCGCTGCAGCGACTTGTCAAAGTCCTTCTTCCACGCGTCAAACGCCCGCGTCAGCGTCCCGCGCCACTTGTCACGCCCGCCCAGCGCCTGCGACACGCCTCCGCCGAGCACGTTGACCTGGAGGTCCCTCTGGTTCATGTGCCAGCTGACACTGAGCAGACCCGCCATCAGGATCGTCCGTCCAAACGCGTTCGTCTGGACCTCCTGGTGGCTCAGCGTCCGCTTGAGACCTTCCAGGAACGACACGGGCTTGATGCCGTTCGACAAGAGGTTCGACTCGATGCGCCCGACCTCCGGGCCGCTCGTGGCGTTCCACAGCGACTCGTCGCACGGCAGCGGAAGTCGCATCTCGTGCGTCACCATGACCGTCGAGTGTCCAAACATGGTAGCGTGCGTCGAGTCAATGACAAACGCCGTGAACGCACAACGACGCGTCGCCTCGTTGGTGATCCAATGATTCCACCAGTCATCCGCCGTGTGAGCCATGCCCGACGTCGACGACTGTCGCGAGCCGTTTGTCTTGTCGTCGCGCGGGTTCGGCGGCGAGTCCAGCGTGGACTTGCCAATGAGCGACCTGCCGCGCCGCATGAGAGTGATGGTCGTGGCGTGATGGATATGCGCCCGCTCGTGCAGCTCTCTCGTCGAGTACATCTTTTCGTACAGCTCGAGCAGGAGCAGCGTTTGGAACACCCAGAGCTTGGCCGGTGGCCTAAAGTTGACGTCCATGAAAATCTCCCAACGCAGGTGCCACGCCAGAAAGTTGGACAGCTGAGCCCCTGCTTTGGTGACCTGCTGCCCGTGCGTCTTGTCGAGGCAGGCAGCGCCGATCGTGATCATGGCCAGCAGCAGTGGGTTTGGCGTCCGGTCGGGCGAGAACGTGGGCTTGTGCAGGATGGGGACCTGCTCGTTAAAATGCACCCAGTAGGAGCCAATGTATGCCTGCATCATCCTCTTGCTCAGCATGTGGTTGTTGTCGGTGCGATCGCCCTCGAAGATGCTCTCACGCTGCCGCAACGCCGGTGCTTGGTCGTTCTCGTGAAATCTGGTGAGTATAATGTCAAAGATCTCTTGGCTCTTCTCTTCCGAAATTGTGGCCTCGGGCAGATTCGTGTCGAGAAGATTTGTGACGGCCATAACCTGGTTGGAGCCATTGGGGAAATAGCCAAGAGAATTACTGTCGGTGCCCACGTACGGCACACTATACTGACTCTGGTAGTCTCCATAGCTGGTCCGCGGTTAGTATATTGGCCCGTCGGACCCTAGGACTCTGTGCCATGACTTACTTGCTAGCGTATCCTGGCGCCACCATCTGGCCAGGAATCGGTGACGCATCACCTTGCTGCGTGTTGAAGAGGTAGGCGACAAAATCTTCGGGTATCGTCACAAACGGAGACTTGCTCAGGACACTGTCGGTGCCAAAGACAGGCATGGTACCTGGCATGGACATTTGATCGAGCAACATCATCTCGCCAGACTGTTGCGACGTGTGATCCACGTACTCACCCGAGGTGGCCGGGGCGTACTGCTGACTGTTCTCTCGCGTGAGGTTGTTGTGGCCGCTTGAGAAATCCGACGGAGGCAGGTTGAAGGGCTGGAAATTTTGCTGGTTGACGTACGTGGCGGACTGCGGGGTGCCCTGATGCTGATTGTGATAGCCCTGTTGATTCGAGACGGGAGACATGTACGGCCCGCTCGTTTGAACATTGGGCCGCGGATGCCCGTGGGCGGATGAGATCGAGTTGCGGTGGCTTTGCGGACCAGCGTACGCGCCGTCGTGGTGCATGTAGCCGTCCATGCCGTTTGGTGGACCTCCCATGCCATACGGCGGCGGCGTGTGTGCGGCCTGCATAAAAGGACTACCCGAAGCTTCTTTGGGATAATGCATGTGCGCGGGCCGGACATTGGTGTACGCGGAGCCGGGGCGGTTCACTTCGGGTGACGCGGAGCCTGGTGCGGTAAAAGGAGCACGATCCGTGATGGGGGACACATGGCTCATCATGGAGTCCTTGCGGTTGAGTGCGGACCCCTTGGCGGTATGACGGTCCCTGTGTCGGTTACACAAGTCGAGTCGGACAAAGGTTCGATTGCATTCAGGAAAGTCGCAAGAATAAATCTGCTTTGGCGCATGGTTCAACTGATGACGGTAGCTGATGCCACAGTTAGCTCTCGCCCGCGTCGTTCTGATGCTGGTTGTCCTGTGCCACTCACAGATGCTCCGCTCTAGAGTAGCTCTTGCCGCAGCCCTCCTGGGGGCATTCAAACTTCTTGTCCAGACCCTTGCGGCTCCTCCTCCTCTTGCGGGCAGGTCCGCCGTCCGAGTTGGACGACCCCGCTTTGCCGTCTTCGCCGTCATCTTGTTCCTGCGCATCTTGCTCTTCAGAGCGCTGACGTCGCCTGCCACGCTCCTGCTCCTCTTCCTTGACGGGACGACCAGGGCTGGCTCGCCGTTCGTGACCGGGCGCCATGGTCGTCGAACTGGCGGGAGAAACGGGCATGGGTGCCTTGATATCGGGTAGGTGCGCAGGGAGTATTGTGGTCATGGTCAGCGCCGTGTCGATCAGCATGCACGGGTGCCTAAGCAAGGACGAGCACAGTGACGTGTGCCGGTGGTTGCGTGGCGCAGGTCGTAGGAAAACGTGGCTCCCGGCGTCAAGGAGCAGGCGTTCCGTTACACGGCAGAGTGGTGATACCCGAAGTCGAGAGGCGCACGCGCGG